CGTGGGGCGCGGGCCCGCGGCGGGAGCTGTCCGCGAGCCCTAGTGCTGAAGTCGGCGCAGACGTGCCCGGCGCCCGGCGCGTGCTACCCGGCTCCCAGTGCCCCGGCCGGCGAAGACCATGGCGTTCATGGTGAAGACCATGGTGGGCGGCCAACTGAAGAACCTCACCGGGAGCCTGGGGGGCGGCGAGGACAAGGGAGACGGGGACAAGTCGGCGGCCGAAGCGCAGGGCATGAGCCGAGAGGAGTACGAGGAGTATCAGAAGCAACTGGTGGAAGAGAAGTAAGTGGGATCCCTCCGGGCTCCAGCGACCCCCTCCCGCGCACACACGCGGGCTACTCGGCCCACTCCCGGGCCAGCTTCAGGCCCTCCTCCCCCTCCCCTCCTTCCCTAGACAAGGTAAGAGGCTGGGAGGTGTCCTCTAGGCTGCCCCCCTGATCCCCCATCTCAAACCCAGGACCCCACTTCAGTCTCATACACAGGCCAGGGGGGAGGGGCGACAGGAGTCTGGGACAGGGAGGGAGTGCACGTGCATTTCTGACCAAGCAAATAATCCCTTAATCCGATCTGGTCCCAGCCGCCTGTGTCTTCCAACTGGGGCTTCTCTGAGCCTGAGAAAAGTGATGCAGCTGCAGGGGGCTCCGAGTCACAGGAACAGATTCTAAGATGGGGTCACTCACAGACACTGAGGAGACTTGTGGGTGGCAGCGCCAGGGCAGTCCAACTGGATTCTGGGGCTGGGCTCCTGAGCTAGGCTACTTGGGTTCCAATCCTGGCTTTGCTTCTTATTAGATAGATAACTTTAGGCAAGTTACCTAACCTTTCTGTGCCTCCATTTCCTCTCCTGACAAGTGGGGACGGTAATCCTAATACGTGCTTAATAGAGTATGAAGATTAAAGACAGTGCATGTAAACCACTTAGTGCAGTGCCTGGCACGTGGTAGAGCCTCATAAATGATCGCCATTATTTCACTGAATCCTGATAACAGTTTTGTGAGTTGCAAAATCTTATCCCCATTTTACAGAACAGGAAGTGGACTGCCTTACCCAAGGACATACCTAAAAAGTAGCCAGGACTCAAACTCAAGTTTGTCCCAAATATTTTCCCCCACACAGCACAGCTTGTCAAGGAGGAGGAGACTGAGCTGAAGGCTGAGAGGGGCAAATATTAGTTAGAGTCTGCAGAGGGAACCAGCAGACGGTACTCCCACCCCACTAGCTCTGTCCAGCAGCAGGCGAGGAGGAGACAAGGGACGCTGGGAGGGGGAGAGGCAGCGAGGACTAACCGAGGCTGGCCAGATCGCGCATCCTCATTACACACAGGGACAATGCATTCACTACCAGGACTCAGAGACCCCATCCTCCCCTCCCTCGCGATCCCAGCCCCCTCCTCTCATCCCTGGAGGTGACTCTGCCCTCGATACACCCCGCAGGATGGAGCGGGATGCGCAGTTCACACAGAGAAAGGCCGAGCGGGCCACACTGCGGAGCCACTTCCGAGACAAATACCGGCTGCCCAAGGTAAGCTGGCAGGGCTGTGAGGTGGCCCAGGACTGGAGCTCCTGGCTCCATATTCCTTCGTCCTACTCTGGGCACTGCGGCCTTTGGCTGTTAAAACGCATCAGATGCTTGGTTACGTCCTTCCTTTTCCCACTCATTCATTCATTCATTTGATCATTCATTCACTCACTCCTAGTTAAAGGCACCCACCAAGGTCCAGGGCTTGGTACTGAGGGGACAGGTTTGTTTCTGAAGCCAATGCAGGCCTCTTCTCTCCTCCACCTCCAAACCCCCAATCCCTGGCCAGGCCCAGGCAGATGAAGCCACAGGGGAGACTGTAGATTTTACTGCAGAGATGACTATTTTGGGGGCTCCTGAACATACGGGAGGACGGGGTGGGAGAGAGAAGCTTGTACCCTCTCTGTGCTGGGTGCTTGACCTTCATGTCCTCACCTAACCCCCAATGGCGCTGCCAGGTAGCTGTCACCCACATCCTCAAGTGATGAAACTGAGGCTCTGAGAGATGAAGGGACTTGGCTAAGGTTTTACAGCCAGTGAGTGGTAGAGCTGGGTTCAGCCTCCAAGCCTGTGGGTATTGAGACTGTTTTTGTTCCAGGACCCCACTCTGCTTCCAGGGTGTGGAGTCTGCCTGCAGAGAGCAGAGTAACCCTTTGGCCGGCCAAGCAGCCAGGAAGTATGTCTTAGCAGATCCCTGTCCCAGGCTCCCCTGGGCACTGCCTCCAGAATCCCCTAGGCACTGCCCCAACTTTCCCTGGGCACTGCCCCCAGAACCCTCTGGACACTTCCCCCCAAAACTCCTGGATACTGCCCCAGCCTCCTGTGGGCACCGAAGCACCAGATGGGCATGTAAGTGTGCTGTGTCTGTTGCCAAGGGGGGAACTGAAGCATAAGCCCTCCCTCTGCCCCAAATATTACCCTAGTGTGCCGAGAACTGCGCTGAAGTCTGGGGGAAAACTGAAGTCCAGGGCTCTAGCTCTCCTGACTTTGATCTTCCACTTGAACTGAAAGATCAAGTATATGAACATCACATTCACTCATTCAACAAATAGTTACAGAGCCCCCAGCTGCCACTGAGTTCCCACAGGGTACCCAATCTTCTGGAAGTCTCTCACAGGGAAAACCAGTCCAGAAAGCCTGTCTTCATGAAAGCCCAGCTGGGAATGGAGTCATTCTGACTCCTGCCCTCAGGGAACTCTGAGTCCTGGAGAAGAGGCAATGCTTGACTGCAACTGAGCAGTACACAAGAGGGGAAGCCCCTAAGGCCCCCCAAGAAGGACAAGGAAGTGCAGTGACCATCAGGAGGTATCCTGCAAAGGAGACACAGATGCTGGCCTCAGTGACATGGGCTTGAATCTAGCTCCCCTACTTCCTACCTGCATGACATTGGGCGATCCATTTGTTTGATTTATTTACATATTTATTTTAGAGTAGGAGTCTCACTCTGTCACCTAGACTGGAGTGCAGTGCCATGATCATGGCCACCACACCTCAACTTTCTGGGCTCAGGTGATCCTTCCTTCTCAGTCTTCCAAGTAGCTGGAACCACAGGCACACACCACCATGCCCAGCTAATTTATTTATTTATTTATTTATTTTTGAGTTGGAGTCTCACTCTGTCACCCAGACTGGGGTGCAGTGACCACTCCCGGTCACCGCAGCCTCGACCTGCTGGGCTCCAGCGATCCTTCTGCCTCAGCCTTCCAAGTAGCCGGAACTACAGGCGCGTGCTACCACGCCTGGCTGATTTTTTGATTTATTGTAGAGATGAGATCTTGTCAAGTTGCCCAGGCGGGTGTCGAACCCACGGGCTCAGGCAATCCATTCACCTTGGCCTCCCGAAGTGCTGGGATTACAGGCTGAGCCACTGAGCCCGGCCAATTTTTTAATTTATTGTAGAGATGAGGTCCTGCCAAGTTGCCCAGGCTGGTCTCAAACTCCTGGACTCAGGCAATCCTCTCACCTCTGCCTACCAAATTGTTGGGATTACAGGCATGAGACACTGCAGCTGGCTCGTTTTTTATTTTTATTTGTTTTGAGTCAGAGTCTTACTCTGTCACCCAGGCTGGAGTGCAGTGGCTGCTCATGACCACTGCAGTCTTGACCTGCTGGGCTCAGGTGACCCTTCTGCCTCAGCCTTCCAAGTAGCTGGAACTACAGGTATGTGCCACCATGCCCTGCTAATTTTTTTTTTTTTTTTTGGAGTTGGAGTCTCACTCTGTCACCCAGACTGGAGTGCAGTGACACACTCCCGGCCACGGCAGCCTCAACCTGCTGGGCTCCGGTGATCCTTCCGCCTCACCCTTCCAAGTTGCTGGAACTACAGGTGCACGCTACCACGCCCGGCTAGTTTTTTTGATTTATTGTAGAGACGAGGTCTTTCCAAGTTGCCCAGGCAGGCCTCAAACCTGTGGGCTCAGGCAATCCATTCACCTCAGCCTCCTCCCAAAGCGCGGGATTACAGGCTGAGCCACTGAGCCTGGCTTAATTTCTAAATTTATTGTAGAGACAAGGTCTCGCTATGTTACCCAGGCTGGTCTTGAACTCCTGGACTTAAGCGATCCTCCCACCTCATCCTAAAGTGCTGGGATTACAGACATGAGCCACTTTGCCCACCCTAACATTTAAGTTACTTACCTTATATTAGTACGTAAGTACGTAACTTAAATTTAAAGTAAGTTACCTAATTATCTGAGCTTCAATTTTCTTATTTGTGACGTGGAGGCAACAATACCTACCTCCTGGGGTTAATGTGAGAATTAAAAGCACCAGTTCAATGTCAGCCATATAGTAGGTGTCTGATAAATGGGACCTGTTTCTATCACTGGTGACGGTATTCAGCAAAACGATGGTCAATGCATGACTCAGCTGACGTCACAGCGTGACTCCTAGGTATTTTCGTTTTGTCTTTACTCATCATGCTAGGCCTTTGGTGTCTCAGGGTGAAGTAAAGGGACAGAAAGGTACAAGATCTCCATGTCCAAGCATCAAACGCTTGACCCTGGGATGCGGAGGTGGTGGCTGGGCTCACTGGAATCGAGGGACCCAGTTCTGACTTCCTCCCTGCCTCCTCAACTCTGGGTCTTCACAGACCCCCTCTACCCCCTCGCCCCTCTTCCCTTCAGAACGAGACCGATGAGAGCCAGATCCAGCTGGCTGGTGGAGATGTGGAGCTGCCCCGGGAGCTGGCCAAGATGATCGAGGAGGACACAGAGGAGGAAGAGGACAAGGCCTCAGTCCTTGGGCAGCTGGCCAGCCTCCCTGGCTTGGACCTCGGCTCACTCAAGGACAAGGCCCAGGCCACACTGGGGGACCTCAAGCAGTCCGCAGAGAAGTGCCATGTCATGTGACCACTTCCCCTGGGGTCGCCCAGGCCAGAGGGGCTGGGCCACATGAGGGCTAAGAGTGTGTGTCAACGTCCAGGGACCCACACCCACTTGGAGCTTTGTTTCCCCTGTCCACTCCCCCAGTTCCAGAACCTTCTCATCCATGCTCTAAGCCTCCCTTCCTGTCTCTGTTTCCCCTGTCCACTCCCCCAGTCCAGAACCTTCTCATCCATGCTCTAAGCCTCCCTTCCTGTCTCTCCCTCTCCACTGGGAGCTAAGCCCCCATTCCTCAGCTATCCTCAGGACCCAGCCCCCTACTCAGCCCCAGAGGCCTTCCAAGATGGTAGGATCAGGCTCATCCCTCTCTGGTCATGGCCCAAGTTCCTGCACACAGAAGCACCCATAGACACACAGAGGATGTAACACCCTTGGATAGGTCAGAGACAAAGGTCACAGACACATTCTGGCAAACACACACACACACGGGCCAGCTCCCCTGGGTGCCCTTACAGACGCCAACACTCAGATACCCCCAGTGAGAGCTTCAGGCAAATACCCTCAGCAGAACAGAGGCCTGAGTTCACGTCTCCACCTTTACCTTTCTTGAAAGCCATGGCTCTTCCTGGGCCTCGTTTCATCATCTGTAAAATGGGTATGGCCTGGAAGATTTCTAAGCCTCTGACTTGGCCTCCTGGCCTCTCAGAGTCAAGCCCTCCTTGGGCAGGGCAGCAGCTGCAGCGGCTGCCACTGTGGGCTCCGGGAGCAGAGCGATGCTGTGAGAGGGGCAGAGTGCCAAGGATGAAGCTGGCACTGAACAGCAGCCCAGGCGGCTCCAGGCCTCCTCTGGGCCCAGGGCCCAGCCGATTTCTGTTCCTGTAGAACTGTCTCTGGATTCCATAGCTGGAATCTCCTCTCCTAGCTCAGTGAAAAATAAAAACCCCGAGTGATGTGCCTCTCTTCCCACTTCTTACTGATGTCCAGAAGTCTTGGGGTTCACGGCCCCTGAGCCTTCCAGGAGGGCTGCCTCAACCTCCCCACCCACAGCTCCATAGGAGGGAGGAGACACCCAGTGGCAGTGTCTTCTGTGGAACCCCCTCCAGCATCAGCCCCTGTAAGATGCTCAAACTCCATCCTCTCAGGGCCCTGGGCAAGGGTGGGGCCTGGGCCATGCGACATGGGTCTGGGCTTTGAGGGGATATGGCAGCCAGCTGGATGGGGGTGTGCGTGGGAGCATTGCCAAGACCTTGGAGGGACCAGAACTCGGCTGCAGCTATCTCTGGCACCTGGGCCTATACCCCCTCCTCGCCTTGGAGATGGAAGAGCAGGGCCACTGCATTCCAGCCTGGCACTGCTGTGTGACTTTAAGCAGGTCCTTTCCCTCTCTGAGCCTGTTTTTCCCCCTGTAAAATGAGAAGTCCCACCCTCTCAAAAAATAATAATACATGTTTCAAAGAGTGACCATTTATAAAGCCCTTGGCACATGATAGACCATATCAATAAATGGTAAGTCGGTCTTCCAGAAAATGAGCCCAAATCTCATCTTGCTCACCTGTGGCAGGGACAGAAGGATGGGGGTAAATGTGCTCAGGAAACCAGCCAGAAGCTCCCCAAGCAGGTCACCCCAGGCAGGAAAAGGATGATATGGGCTAGGCCCGGGTGCCTCCCTTGGGGTCTGGGGCCCCGACCTGAGGGGAAGCCAGCTAAGATTTGCAGGCAGAAACCAAATCTGAGAACTTGGTTTCAAGGGCAAAGGCTCTACTAGGTAGATCTCCTCCGTAAAAAATAACAACAAACATAAAACCTGAGCAGTGGGTAGTGTTGGGGTGGAAGAGGGGAGAGAGGGCAGGGGGCAGGGAGGGACACGGGCCCACGTGCTGGCCAAGCTGTCACACTTGGCCGTGCTCCCCTGAATGTCCCCAGGAAAGAGACCTGGGCCTCTAAGCTGCTCCTAGGCTGCCCCTGGGGCCCCCTCCTGACCTCCTCAGAGCTGGAGGAGACCCAACCAAAGCCCCAGGCTGGGCGGTGGGGGGGGTCATGGGCTGCCGCAGCGGCGTCAGCAACAAGGCCCACGTCAGCACTCCACCCTCTGGGGGCCTTCTGCCTAATGGGGTTGGACAGACCCTGCCCCCTCAGTGGTTTGCAGGGCCGAGAGGGAGAGGCAGGGGTGGCAGGCAGTAGCGGTTTGGAGGTAGCACTCACTGAACTCCCTCAAAGCGGGGCTGAGTGGGACCTGGAGTCAGGGATCAGGAGGGAGCTGAGCCCTCACACTTGGGAACCCCAAGAAACCCTGGCCTGTCTGCACTGGCATCAGAGTGGGACATAGAAGCCAGTTCTGGGGCTCAGGCAGAGATGGGCAGGGGTGCTTGGGGTGCCCGGCTCTGCTGATCTCGCCCGGCCTCCCCTCTGTCCGTCAGCCCTGTTTCTGGGACTCTCTGTCAGGCCTTGTCCCTCTCGTGTGTCCCCTCACCCCGTGACTCCTTCCTGGCTCTGTGTCTGTCCTGTGCCCGCCCTCAGCTGGGGGCTGACTAGCCTGGCCAGAGCCCCTCCTCTGCACCTGCCCCTACCCTCGGGCCCTGGGTACATGACTCGAGTCTTTTCTCAGCCTGTTTCTATTTCTCTTATTTAGACAGTCACATGCTCCATGTGACTGGTGTGATGTGAGAGCCACAAAGAAAGCCACTCACCACCAAAATGTCCCTTTTTCGGTGCCTAAAGCCCATCAGTGTACCATTTGAACCCTGATGCCCATCCCTCTCTGTCCTCCCCTCCCCATCCTGTTCTTTTCCATCTTCCCTTCTTCCTTCTGCCCTTGCAGGCAGTCTGAGAAAACAGGAGATGTCAAAAGGTGGCAAGAGAACTCCTCCAACTCCCCCACACTCTCTCAGGGGGAGAGGGAGGGAAAGATGGCTGCCTGCTCCCCAGCCCCACCCTCGGAGCCTCTGGCTCCACAGCACACAGGATTTCAGGGAGACCCTGCCCAAGGAGCCCACAGCCCCCCTTCTGCCTTCCACCCACCCAGACAGCTCTGCCCGGTTCCCAGCGGGAAGAGGAGTGCCCAGAGACCAAGTGACTTTCCCAAGGTCGGTTAGTCCCCAGGGAGGAACTGGGGAGGGTGGCCGGGGTTTGTAGCACAGAGGATCTCCCTTTCCCTCAACAGCCAGATGGTCCCTCCTCAGACACTGGAGGCCCCAGGCAGACACCGGGGACATCTGGGGCATGTTTGTTAGCTGAGCTGAGCTGCTGACAGAGCCTATTGACCCAGCTGACGCTCAGTCCTGGGAGGCCAGAGCTTCTGTCCTTCATGCCACAGACCCCAGGCTGGGCTGGGGGTGGGGAGTCACAGAGCCCCTGCCACGCCTCTAGCCCAGCACCCGCCTGCCAGGTCTGCAGGAGGCTTGGGGAGAGCAGGGGACCCAGTTGGCCTGGATCCAGGGCTGTAGCAGCATTGTTGAAGCAACCTCAGTCTTCTTCGTCAAGAGTATTGCTGTGTGTGTCTTGGACCTATACATGGCTTTCCATGTTTCTGTGTGTCTGGAGGATTGTGAGTGTATAGGTATGGGTACGAGTTACTCTGGAGAGAGTGGTCATTGATGTGTCCCTTCCCTCTTGGCCCAGCCTTGGTGCTGGGACAGCAGTGTTGGGCTGGGACAGCAAGCTGGTCTCTGGGGACAAGAATCCTTCTAGGTGACCTGCTGCAGGAACCAAGGTTCTATGTCCCTTCCCATACCCCCAGTAAGCCAAAGAAAAGGCTGGCGGGACACAGGGACACCTGGGCCCCCAATCTGCTCCAGAGGCCCATCTGCTTCTCCAGGGCTGACCCCATGGGAGACAGACAGTTCCAGGTTTGGGTGTCCACCCCCCCAGCTCAGCCCAGTGCTGGCTTTCCACTTGGGCTACTAAGCGGAGGTGGGGGGACAGGGCAGGTTGTGACCCCTGAACATACCTTGGGGGGTATCTACCCTGCTTAGGCACTTTCAAAGTGTTGAAGGTGAGAGGCAGAAACAACTCCCATTCTTAAGAGGAAAAACATGTTCCATGAAAAACAGATTTGCGTGTTTCCCACTGGCCTTTGCCATTAGAAGAGCCCTATCTGGAAAGCCCCACCTCTTCCCAGACACCAACTGAGCTGTCTTCTCCCTGGCAGGGGGCTTGGACACAGGACCAGCCCAGAGGCCATCCAAATGCTTTGTCCAGGGGGCTCATCCCAGGGACTCCTCCACCACCTTATCTCCCAGGCCTTCCTCATACCCAGTCCCATCTATGGACGCCCACTCCTCTCCACACCCACGGGTCAGAACGTGAGGCCCATGAGGCCTGTTCTTGGTCAGCCAATGCAGCCAGCACAGATAAGCAATAGGGCCATGGGCGACCCTCCCTCCCATGGGCCACTCTCTCTCCCATAGTCCTTCAGCGAGTCTCATCCCATCCAGCATCATCTCTCCCTCCCACCGTCTTCTCCACCCACCCAACTGGGTCCATTCATTCCCCTCCTCTTCCCTCATTTTATGTATTGAGGGTTCTTTGGCCCATTTCCAGAGATGCTATGCATGTTTCTCTCCCTAGTTCTGAAAATAACATTTTATTGAACTCTTACTATACACCAGGCATATGGAAAATATCTCATTACAAATTCCCAAGGAGTGCTTATCGTCATCCTCACTTTACGGAAAAAGAAACAGGCTACACCAGCTACTCGATGGCCCCAGGCTCGGAGGCCAAACAGCAGAGCCAGAACTGTAGTGGCTCTGCCTGCCCTCCAGACACTGCTCCACACTGCCTCCTAGTGGCCAGACCAAGAGCTTCCAGGAGATTAGTTCCTTCCCAGGGTCTGTTCGGAAAGCAGGCATGGAGTGAGCACCTTGGTGCTATCCACAGATCTAAGAATTGCTCCCTGCAGGCTGCCTGGCTGGGCCCCCTTCCTTGAGTCCCTAGGTATGCTCCCAATAAGTACTGGTCAGGCTGACACCCGGGGTATGTGTGTGGGGAATGCCCAGACACAGCCTGCTGGAAATGATCTCCGCTTGGGAGTCCTTGGGGCCTGGGTATGAGCATGACACCCCGAGATGCCATTTTTCCGGCTCCCTGCTCGCTCACTGGCCCAGGGTAAGAGGGGCTTAGAGGCATGGAGGGCCCTGCCTGGGGCAAAGGGGCGTGTGGCACAGAGCAGAGCGTGTTAGGGGACAGCACTCTGGCAGCTGAGCTAAGGAACAGTCTTTCCCAGCACCCAAGCCTGTGCTCCCCCCACATGGCTCCCCAGGAGCAAGAAAAGGCACAAGTACAGAAAATAATTTAATAGAGAAACAACAAGTGACACTCCCCACACCCAGCCCAGTGGGGAGGACAGAAGCCCTTGCCCAAGGAGCCATGTAGGGGCAAAGGGCCAGAAGTTGCCAGCACCCTCTGACTGTGTAGGAACCCTTGGTAGTTCCAGATGTACATTCTGCTCCAGGTGAAATTCTCCTTGTCCTTGAAGCACCCATGTTGGGGGCTGTGGAGGTACCAGGCCCGTGAGAGGGATGAGGGGACTCAGACCCAGAAAGCGTAAGGAGCTTGCCCAGGGTCACACGCTGGGGCAGTGTCAGGCCAAGAACTGGGTATCCTGGACCGCACCGGGTCCCCTGCAGCCTGACGGGTCAGGCAATCCCCAAGCTGCTCCCTGGTAGGCCTGAACTCCAGCACAAGGCCTCCTCTGCAGCTATTCCTCAGAGGCTGGAGGACACCTCCCCTGTGCTCCCTGGGCTGGAGCACGAACAAGGCACGGCATTCTTCAATGGCCCGTCCCTGCAGAGGACACTACTTTCTTTTTTTTTTTTTTGAG